CTCTCTCTCTCTCTCTCTCTCTCTCTCTCTCTCTCTCTCTCTCTCTCTCTCTCTCTCTCTCTCTCTCTCTCTCTCTCTCTCTCTCTCTTTTTTAACGGTACTCTTAAGCTCCTACAGCACCCACCGCTGAAGACTACACCTAGTGCTAGCTACTACTACTGCAGCGCTCCTCCAGAGTGTTGCGGCCGAATCCTGAAGACTGCCTCCTGAATGGCCCATGAAGTGCCTGTGAACTCCCCGTGAACTGCCTGCACCCTGTAGGGCGGACCAGTACTATATAGTGCTGGTCCGGCCTGGGAGGCTGCTCTTGCCCATGCAGAATCGTGCCAGACCCTGGCGTTGAAGTTCAAACAAAGTTTGTCTTGAAACAGGCCTAAAAATGGCCTGCGCTAAACCCTGGTCTGGCGCCCAAGTTCCAGGGCAGGTCGACTTTTTAGGCTGAAACGACACAGGGCCTGGAGGGCCCTTATTTTCCGTGTGGTCGGGCCCTGCAGGCCCGTGTGGATGCGCAGTATGCCACAACTGCACAACATCCTTGCAACGATTGCATAGTTATATGCACCACCAGAACCATTCCGCCAAGTCCAAGCCATTACTCGACGGACTTAGGGAAGCATGTCGTTCAGCCACCAAGCCAGCTCCCAGCAGTGGACCCATATATTTTCAGACCTCTGAGCGACAAGGTGCGACAACCTCTCGACGACCTCCAGACGTGACTGTCATGAGTAAAACCCTTGGTCAATAATTGCAACATCCTCTTCGACATCTTATGTCAAGTCAGCGCCTGGGTCACTACACCCTCCCTGGAGCAAGCTAGGACCATGATTGATAGGTGGTCAACATGCAGTCCTCCTTCCTTGTGGACAGACGAGAAATGTTATCCGCGGACAAGTACACGACAACAACGCTTGGGAGAAGTATGTTATCCGCAGACAAGTGGACGACAGCGCTTGGGAGAAGTGCATGAGAGAATCATAGGAAGGGATTGTGCAGATGACAACACGAAGATGTGACCAATAAATACAACTTATAAGAAAAGGAATCGATATGAAACCAATGAAATCCCGCAACGTCACCACTGACTGACTCGTAGCATCCTACACTACGAACCACATCCATGGTCTCCACTGTTACCAGAACAGGAGGATAGGGCAACCATGACGAAATACATGTACTGAAAATATATTTTTACTTTATTTTTCCCCTTACCATGTTCCCTGTTACCCTTTGGTTTTGCTATCATTTTCATTTTACTGTTTTTTTTTTATTAATACAAACAGCTCCTTATGGTCCTGACTCCTTGTCCATTATTGGAGAGCATCGTTCCAATTCCTTTCCATGGGGCACGTTGAAAATTGGAGAGCATCCTCACACTAGGACTTTCTCTGCTTCTCTGTAGATGTAATGGGACTCAGGTGCGTCCAGGCGGGGTTGGAAAAGCAGCCATATACATCCAGGGAAGTCCTAGCGTGAATATGCCCTCATACATAGGTAACCCATTCAACGCACCATTCTGTTCAGGCCAGAGGATCCCTGACCAGCATTGATTGCTCCCTATTGGAGGCTCGACTGTCAGCTTCCTGTTCTCCGCTCTTATCCCTCTCAGACACAGCTGGGTTGCAATCTTTCAGAATAGCCGGTATACCAAGAACACTGAAGAGGAGTGCCAGAACTGAAGGTCAGGAGTTCAAAACTCACGGCAAACATAGTGGAATCTAAACGTCGGCAACTATCTGACCTAAGTCTCCCTTGATGGCAGTCTGGTTACTGTGTGCAGCAGCTCAACTCCAGCTTCCTCCACCTGAGCAGCAGCCCGAATCCCGCTCCCTTCACCTGTGCACCAGCTCGAATCCCACTTCCTCCACCTGAGCATGTGGTCTTCCATGGTAGCAATCTTCCCCCATAGCAGACATCCTCTGACGAAAGCTCTTTTACCCTCTGCCAACTTATCTGGCCTCTCCATAGCCACCTGTTTGACTGAGCACCATCTTGCAGCGGATTTTGGCTCCACCATGGCTGTTAGCTGGGCGCAGGGTTCCTCTTTCATTGTTTGCTCCCCATTATTAGTACAGGCACACGTCCGTTTCCAAATGATATACAACGTGACTTTTCCTGAGTATTAGAGAACAGTCCACCGAAGAAATGTTGAAATATAGAAATGGGTTCGAATCCAGATGGAAGTTATCATGGAACTAGATAAACGAAATTCCTGAATCACATGGGGCTGGTCAGTTTCACAATGATATTCCAAGGCCGTTGCCCTTTTGAAATAGAACCAGTTCTTTTTATCACCTCACAGGAGTGTGGGATGATGGAAGAAGACTGGAGAGGGGTGTGGTGGAAGGAGGGGAGGAGTCTCTTGATTCTTTCCCAGAACCAGATCTATTCTGCGCTGGAGGTTAGGCAGTGAATGATGTCGTCTGGTGTGTTAGTTGTACACATTGCACATTTGTCCTCTTTTCGATTTTGGGCCTTTTCAGTAACTTCTCCCCATCCTCTCCTGTCATTCCCACCTTTCCTCACACATCCTAATTTCCATTCACTGCAACCCACTTTGCTACACACCCCTTTTTCTGCTGCAAATGCCCTTCTGTCTGCTTCCCCTACAATCAAACAGTTCACCCTGTCATTACCCCTCACATATCGACCAATGGGTCTAAGACTACCAATTTTCTGGGTCCCACTTCATGTTCCCATGTCTGTCTACCTGTTATCGTGTGTCTGTCCAGTCTTCTCGTAAACAATAGGCTACTGGGGTTCGAACCGTTTTGCCTCTTGCTAAAAGTATACAACGATGACACTTCTGCATCCATTGTTGAATGTTGCCTTCGATCGAAACTTATTTCCAGTCATGGACTTTCAAACCGTAAGACACAATCTGTAAGCCAGGAGCAAAAGCAGGGTTCGTCCTGGCCCACTGGCACTTATGTTGTTTATGGTATGAAGGCATGAACCTGGCTATGTTCACGAATGGGTGGATGCTTTCCAAGCACAAATTTACCACCGGTGTGGTCTGGCCCTCAGGCTAGTCAGTTCAAACAACATGACACAGCTCATGCGCTCACAACTATTATGCCTATTCAGCACCTGCATCATAGCTTCCCAGGATTCACATGGACATTCAAACACGCCTGCTGTTGACAGGAGCTGCCATTTTGCGTCCTTTCGTCTGCAACAATATGCATGCACCCATTCATTTGCATACACACACACAAGCAAAAACGAAGCATCAAGAGCTTCGCCGACACTAACACAGACAGAAAAAAGTGGGATGTGACCTTAACAGCAGAAGCTGAGGAACTGATCGAGGAACCAATCGAGGAACGGATCGAGGAACCTCTCAACGAACGGATTAGGCATACGGGAGCCTCACCAGTGTTAAGACAGATGGACAAAACTGAGATGTGTCCTGAACAGCAGATGGTGAGAAACAGATCGAGGAACGGATCCATGAACGATGGAGGAACGGATCGAGGAACCAATCGACGAACTGATCGAGGAATGGATCGAGGAACCGATCGAGGAACCGATCGAGGACCAGATGGAGTATTGCTGAACAGATCCAGGAACAGATTGAGGAACGGATCTAGAAGCAAATGGAAGATCCCGGAACAATGCAGAAATGGATCGAGGACCGGATGGAGAGCTGAGCAGATCGAGGAACAGTGGATGGAGTAGAGTGTAAAGCAGCAGATTGAGGAACGGATTAAGGAACAATCGAGGAACGGATCGAGGAACAGATAGAAGGAATGAATCAGGGAATCGTCGAAGGAGCGACAGAAAGGGGATAGCATACCACCTTGCTGGGCTACAGCATTCATAGTCAGGAGTCTGTCAGCATCTGCCAGTTTCTCCTTGAGCATGACGATAGCTGCCCGCAACTTGCGCCTCCCCGCTTCACTTCGCTCCAGCTTCTCAGCCAACTGCAATATTTAAAAAATTAATAACATGAAAGTTGACAAAGTGAAGAATACCGACTATTATCAGAACTAGATGACCCGTTGCGGCTTCGCCCGCAAAAACAGAACACTAAAAAGCACAAAAGAAAGAAAAAGCATAAGGAACTGCCCTATCATATGCCGCTTCTTTCACAAAAACAAAAAGAAGAGCATGAGAGCATACAGAAATCCGCATGCAAGAAATAGGAGGGAATGCCACCAAACTTTTTTTGTTTCTTTATCTGCGAGTGTTTTGTTTGGGAAGCCGCTGCCTTTGCAGCATCGTTTTTTTTCGGTGCTGTGCAAGAACTGTGAACTTTTATGAGAAAATCCTGTCCGTAGTCCCGTTGACGTTTTTGCTAAAGATTCCAATTCAGACTTTTGTTTGCTATTTTCTCTGAATATGTTTGTGATAAAGTGATCTTGCATGTATGCCTCGTGCTTACTTGCCGAGTCTTGACTCTATGTGTGCAAGTGCATGCGCGTGCGGGTGAGTTCTCTCAGGTTTGCGATCAATCGATCTTGCATGCATCCCTCTTCCCCGGGCCAATCATCAATGACATGCGCTTGTTGTTGAGTTGGTGGGGTCGCATGATGTCATTGATGATTGGCCCGGGGAAGTTGTTGGAAGGCGCCCCCAACAACAATAGGAGTGCCACTGATGTTAAGAAGCAGGGGGGTTGCATTGTATGAATGATGAAACAATCAGCAGCATTCAATCTGCTTGGCAGTTGCTCTTCGTGTGGGAGACTTGTCGGGAGTAGCGTTGACATGGGAGCCATAATGCCGGGCGTTCATTTTGCAACACTTCCTGGAAGGCAGACGGCCCCCCCTTTCTCTCTCTCTCTCTCTCTCTCTCTCTCTCTCTCTCTCTCTCTCTCTCTCTCTCTCTCTCT